GATAGACAAGAAAAACACAAGAACAAAGGTCAACTGCAGTGACATAGAAACCCCCACGGGGCCCATCTTTGAACTTGACCTCGGCATTTTCAACGGTAACTTGCCCACTAAAAATAATGAACATCCATTTAAGGATTCTCGAGATATCTTGATGACAAGGAAAAAACACCAAAAACCAAGGTCAACTACAGTGACTTAGGAACCCCCCACGAAGCCCATTTTTAGCCTTGACAATGGCCACCCCTAAATCAACCTGCCTGCCAAAAATCGTGAACCTCGGACCTTGCCTTCAAGAGTTATCGTGCCTAATCTGCCAAACAGTGCAAACCCGATTTCATAACCTTCTCCGAAGGCATAGCCTTCAGTCGAAGGCAATGAATTTTGAACTTTTAATTAAACTGATGCATTGATAAAAAAAAACTTTAACAACTACATGTAAGAAGACAAAGTCTTTCTTCAACAGTTTGGGTCAAAATATGAAGTTGATGTTGAACCTAAAATCTTTTTCTTTTTTCAAAAAACCAATTGATGAAATTGGTGTGGCCTAGCTCTAGCTTCTCAATCTAGCTGCTGATTTGAAGTTAACTGAGTATAAATGTATGTGGAACAATTTTCATGAAAACACCATTTTCCTTCTATTCCCTCTAATCTCGCACAATTTCCACATCCGTATGTGTAATATGTTACAATGCCCCCCATTGGCTGTCAAGTGCTCCACTCACGATTTCGTATTCGGTGCGCGTCTCATAGCCAGTCCTGCGGGACCCGCTGATACGATCTGAGAAATCTGGAAAACAAAAGCGATGACGGCACAGGAGTTAGTCAGCCTGACAGGGGCAGGAAATACAGTCATACGGTTAGGTGGAACTGGAAGGTTAGCACAGAATACATGTACAAAGGACTAAGGTCACAACAATTAGATAATGTTGGTTTGTGGATTTTTTTAGAAAAAATATGAAGCGACAGGGCGAAAAAAAAAAAAAAACAGATTTTGATGGCCCTGAAAGCTATGATATTAGTAGCAATGACATCAACATACCAGGCTCGTTTATAATTCAAATAATTGATTTTAAACTTTTAAACAAACCAAAGCCTAAATTGTGTTAGGGTTTGTAATTTGGCCAAAAAATCTTGGCGATAGAAAGTTATTCACTTTCCACTGTGCATGCATAACCAATCAGATGACATCACTGTTGTTACAACAGTTACTGTTCCATTTGATTCATTTGTGTGACACGCAGACATCTGGGGCACGTCCACGGAGTACTGTGGAATCACTATCAATATTTTATCAGGACTGAGTTGCACGCAAGTCTTATTTTGGCTCGTACATTACACATATTCATCAGGAGCATGTATTTTGGCAAATTGTTAGCCTTTAATGTTTAAGTTTGAAGCCTTTCATACTGGATGATAAATATATAGACACCTCAATAAAATTGCTGTGAAATTGCAAACACATGCATGCATCAAGGTCAATAATCAACAAAATTATGAGCATTTAGGCCAAACCAATTTAATTTGTTGGTTATTGGATCTTTTCAGAAAGAATATGATGTGACAGAGCGAAAAAAAGGCCTAGGCATCCTATGATAGCCCCAAATGCTATGATAGGAGCCATGAAAAATCTTGGCTAAAGAAAATTTTAATCAACCCACTGCATTGATAGATGGAAAAATTGCAACAATTCTGAAGAGAAGTGGCTTCCTTTAACTGTTCAGGCCAAAATATAATAGTATTTTGGAGTTGATTCAGAACTCAGTTGAATTTTCCTTTTCTGCAAATCAAAAAAAAAAAAAAAAGAAGCGGGCAAATCAGAGAACCAACAAATTGTAGTTCTACATGGGTGTGTTATGTGACACCCTTTATCATAACACACTACCAACTATCTGTATGCTAACTGTGCACTGTGCAATAACTCTTTCTACCTAGTAATAATCCTAATACATTGCAATAAATGCCCTCCAAACATCAATTTGTTTTCCTTACTATCTTTCCATAAGGATGTTATTACCACCGACAGCTTTAGATTTACAACTCAACTGTTGGCTAGCAGCAAGATATGGTTGTCTGTTATGAAGTGAACATAAGGCCACACCAATCTGATTTGTTGCTTCTTAGATATTTTCAGAAAAAAATATAAAGTGAGAGGATGGGCCATGTGTAACAATTGGAGCCATTAAGTTAACATACCAGACTGGTTTTTCAATCTTTAATCAAACCAATGCATTGTTAAAAGGAATAAACTAGAAAGGTAACATTTGCAAAGCAAATGTATAATGTTAAGTCTAAATCCCTCCTGCTACAAAATTGCAACATGATGAAATCCAACACCTAAGTTACCATGGTCACAGACATCCGGTTCAAGTCATTGAACTTATTGGTTTGGAGAAGAAGAAGAAGAAACAGAGCAAAAACAATGTTTTGCTTCAGTAAACATAGATACTGTCACAACTAGGAAGACAAGGACTTTCCTCAACTGTTGGTGCCAAAATATGAGCTATTTGTCATTTTTGATCAGAACTTGAATCCTTTGTTTACAATTTTTTTTAAAAATGAGGCGGGCGAATCCAAGAACCAACTGATTAAATTGGTGTGGCCTAAGGTTGCCTGTTATTAAGTGAACATTACCCACACACAGTGGAGTCAGGGCTTCTAGCCTACCTCCGGAATTATCAATTTTTCATCATTGACATACTACAGATATTGATTTCTTATTACTCTACGTCTTGCTGAATAGAACAACCCCCAGAGGAAGCTTGCAACGGCTTTTCTATCACAAAATCATTCTCATATACAGCACGAAAAAATTTGTCCAGGACAAGACTTAGACCAATAGATCAACTTTCAGAAAAAATCTGTATTAACTACAGTAGGGTATTTTTTGGATGAAAATTTTACAAAAATGCAATTTCCTTTATTTAACAGATACTGAGGATGCACGGTTGCTAACATGACACTCATGGGAATTGATCGATCGCTGGCTTAACAGTGTGTCCAAACCCATACAGCTTACTGACTCTAAACCTTGTATGTGCAGCTCTTCTGCATTCTATGAGGGTTGCACCAATTTGTTGGTTCTTGGAATTTTTTTTAGAAAAAAAAAAAAAGTGACAGGCCAAAAAAACCTAGGCATCCTATGATAGCCCAAAATTCTATGATAGGAGCCATGACGTCAACATATCAGGCTGGTTTATAATTCAAAATAAGGAATTTTAAACTTTTTGATAGATGGAAAAAAACTATTACAGTAACAATTACTTAGTAGGTAGAAAATGAGCTTTTGTCAACTGTTTGGGCCAAAATATGAGCATTTTGGGGTTGATCCAGAACCTGAATCTTCTTTACAATTTGTTTGCAAATCAGACAAAAAAAGCAAATCTGAGAACCAATTGATTGAATTGGTGTACATGTGTATGCAGCCTAAACATCTGAAACTGTATATAAGAAAAGTGCTAAGTCCTAATGGATGAAAATCACAATTATATCTATCAAAGTACAGATCTATTATGCTGTTTTTGCCACGGGCTCATTGAGATTCAGAAGCATATCTGACAATTTGCTCCCAGACTAAGCTGGGATGACTCAGCTCATGCTAAAACATCATCATGGATAGGTGGTAGAATGGTAATCAATGCCTGACAAATCTGCCAAATTTTCATTCAAGATTGAAAGGTTTATTCGTGTGATACAGAAATGTTTGTCTTTGACAATCTAAGACCACACCAATTTCAACAATTGGTTATCAGATTTGCTGCTTAATTTTGTCTCATTTGCTGATTTTCTGAAAAATAAAAAAAAGGTTCTGATCCAACTCTAAAATGCTCATGTATTGGATCATAAAAGATATCATCTGCCACAGGCAAAATTTGATGCAACGTTGATCAAACATCCGACTAAAACAAAGAAGAACCCAGGTTTCGGGCACACACGATACTCCATCCAACTGGCTTTCTATGTACAGCGATTTGTTACTAGCCATTGATGGTATGTTTGCATTTCCATGTAAATCCTGATTGTGTTATCTAGCAGAAGCGATACAAGAACAACTCGATTTCCAAGGATGGCATTGAAACAACAACAACGCTGAATTCAGCACCATGGAAACATCAAACTGGATTTCTAGTCAAGGACTGAAATGCAATTTCTTAAAGGCATCAAACGCAATTTCTAGGTGGCAAAACTGGATTTTCAAAGTCAATTTTCTGGTCATTCTTTAAATGTAGTAGGTTGCATCAGTCCTATCCCATAGCATACTGATATCTGTGAGGCAAAAATGTGATGTCACTGACGGTTGCTTGTTTTGTATCGTAGGCTGGTTCTAGTTATTTATGGGTGGTGCCCAAAAATAAAGAGATGCCTCATGTAGCATGTTTTGGGGCTATTTCAAAATCAAATGCTTCAAGTATAAAATGATGACAAAAAGGTGCTAAGAAATGGCAGTAAATGTCAATCAGGCTTCCTCGGCCAGAACGTTTTTGTCTTGCTGCTCTGAAATTGCAATGGATGCCTTTTACCTGGGAAAATCTATTGTAATAGGATCAGGCTGTGATACAGATTGATACATGTGACGGAAACACTCAAGTAGTCGTGAGTTCATGGAAAGGACACAATTATGACAAGCAGCAAAAGAATTTTAGTGGACAAAGGAATACTGAATGACAAAACTACATGACATGTACATCCCTGACTCCTACCAATCACACAGTAACACTTTCAATTCCATCAATCTTTAAAAGGCAACAACTATGATTAGACTTTTTAGAGACAGATAGAAGTTTAAATGTGAAGTAAATTCCTTCCTCAGGACAAAACTTTGACGGCGTTCTGTCTAGGCATTCCAGATACAAATGCTGAATGAGAATTGTCCTACATACAAAAAAAAAAGACATGCCACTTTGACCAATGCAGTATATATTCCAGTATGATACAACATGGCAAGAAATCATGGTTTATGGTCTGTACATGTATAGAATAGCAGAAACTATCAGAAAACTATGCCACCAGATAAGTAGCTGTCATTTTGCCCTTTTCTTACTCAAATATCTGATCTTCTCAACTCATCTTCTCAGCTCAACATCTCATTTCTTTCTACAAAGCCCCTTTTTAGTACATTCTGGCACTGATGTCCCTCTTTCATAGTAAAAAATCAAAGTACATGACTAAGGCCTAATCTGGTCTGGGTGATTCCGGCCATCAGATGAGTGACTCAAACCTCTGGGGACCACAAGCCATGATTTGTACAGAGGACTCATTTGCATTTGCATGACCAGCCACTAGTGTGCCCCCTACATTTACGATCATGCATCACACTATGGAGAAACCAATTTTTTTCTGGGAAGGAAAACCTGCATTAGATATTGGGACAAAGCAGCAATCTAGACTTGGATTCCTACAACTGTATTCTGAGAAAAAAAAAAAAACTAGAAAGGTAACATTTGCAAGGCAAATGCATAATGTTAACCTTCGCACATGGTCTGCTCTGTTAGTTCTTACTCAACACAATCATATATGACTGCAGTCTAAATCCCTCTGCTATGAAATTGCAACATGATGTAACCCAACACTAGTTACCATGGCAACAGACACAACATTGGTTCATGTCAGAGGTCACTGTTTGGAGAAGAAGAAGAGGAAATTGAGCAAAAACAGTATTCTTTCGGTAAACATAAACATAAGAAAACCTATCTTTTCAACTTTTCAACAAACATTGTTGTATTTGTAGAGGATTTGACTGTCTAACGTCATGAGCTTTAATTTGTTGTGATTGATGGCTTGAGCAACACC